TTTCCCATATAGTTTAAACTCCTTGTTGAAGATAACTAGGAAACTTTTATTGTTAAGGTTGATGCCTCCTAAAAAAAAAAAAACTAGCCATTATAAATTAAATTGTTGATCAAATATAAAATTAGAAAGATATTTCACATGGTGGCAAAATTCATGGTTCTAGACTAATGCAACATCTCCTATTATAACTATTCCACCAAGAAAGGAACCACTCGTCTCTATTTACTATCATAGACGACCATTATGATACTTCTTTCTCACATCGAGTTGATCTTTACATCAATCATTTTCTTGATGACACACTCTTTACACAATAGCATTATGATCAGTATGAGATCACTCATTTTTATTTTTCTCATCATGATGACAATAATGTCCTTATAAGTGATGTAACCACAATAATCACTTATAAGGTTGGCTATTGATATGATCATCTCCATAGTAGGTTGGCTTATAATATGATCACATTAATACTCCCTCCATTTGGATAAAGGAAGACTAACCTTTGATAACCACCATGATCTTAATGTATTTTATCTATTATTTAGCTTCAAATTTATAACTTTTATAAACCGTGTGTTGGAAAGAATATAAAAAAACATTTCACTTAAACTAACAAAAGTAGCCAAATGCCTTTAAAGAAGAATGAAGTATGAGGTATATATATATATATATATATATATAAGAGAGAGAGAGAGAGAGAGAGAGAGAGAGAAAGAAATTTTACACAAATTGTTAGAGAAGTGTTTCAGCAGCATAGGGTGGTGTTGCTGAGAAAGAAATTTTACACAAATTGTTAGCGAAGTGTTTCAGCAGCATAAGGTGTTGTTGCCTTTTGTTTATTTAGAAACAGTTGTAAAAATGTTTTTTTTTTTGGAAATTTTGGGGCAAAAGCCCATATATTAAAGAAAAAAGAGGTTACAAGTAAAGGTGATTACATGTAAAGATAACCATTCATAAGCAAAAACAAAAACTTATGAAGGTTAATTGTAATAAAAACCCCAATTATACCACCCAATCAAGCAAAAAAATACAATAAATTGAAGCAGGAATGACCGTAGCAACCCAAAAACCAAAAAACAACATCAGCTTTGAGATTGGCAAAACTCATAAGAAGCCAAGATTCCACACATCCAAAAATAGCGTCCCCACCAGCAAAGAACAGGGAAAAAATTATCCCTACCACCGCAGTAAATTGGAGCGAGCACCTGAAATAAACAGAGTAACACAGCCAGAGGGACTGCAGGAAAAAAGATCCACTAAAAGAGCTCCATAATAGGAAAAACCAGGACTCATAATTATAGAAAGTTAAGCAAAATAAGCAGCCCCTAGTTGCCTGTAGGCCATCCAAGGGGAATATAATTCTCGATACAACATTTTGGAGCTTCATCATTGTCCTGGTTACTAACCAAACCAGCTAATATGCATCCACTGATAATACAGAATTAATAGAGGATCCAAACTTCACCAATTTTCCAGAAGGACATCAGAATTTTTCCTTTTAGCAACCTTTCCATAGATTCTCCTTTTAACAGTAAACAACAAAGAAGTAGAGCTGAGAAATTCGTTTCCAAATCTTCTATTGTTTCTCTCCCTCCAAAGATGGTAAATAATACAACAAACCATCAGCATATAAAAACTCTTAGTCATTTGAGATCCAGAGGGGTCAGTCTCCAGCCATTGAAGAAGTTGAGAATAGTAGGTCTTAAAAGAAAACTTCTTGTGTCACGTAATAGAGAATTAAGCAAGGAGAAAGAGTAAGAGCACTCAAAGAAAAGGTGATTGGCAGTTTCAGAAGCTGAATGACATAATGAACAAATTGACGGCACAAAAATATTTTTGGATCTCAGAGCATCTTGAGTCTTTAAACCACCAACAAGAGCAAGCCAAACATACACAGAATGTTTCAAAATATGTTTCTTGTGCCAAACAAGCTTATGCCAAGGACAATCCGGCATAATGTTATAGAATTCCTCAATAAAGTCTCTAAATTTAATCTTGTCACAGCCTTTCCAAACAAGACAAGGACCAGCAGTGTGTAAAATCGGAAGGCTAGAAACAACAACTCTCAAAACCTGCGGGACAGCATCAGGGAAAAACCAATTCCCAGATGAAATATAACTGTAAAGCAGTGGGAGGGAAAAGCTATCCAGAGAGACACCAGGCACATACTCAGAGAGAGTAAGATTATAACACCAATGATCCCACAATACAGAAATGGGAGCATTAGGAGTAATTAAAAACTTGAAATTAAACTTCACAATAGCAGCCGTGTTACAAACAGAGACCCAGAATTTGCTATCTTTAGGACTAGAGGGTCTCCAAGGTGATGAATAATGAGCCGAAAGCCAAGTAGATAGTGGAGAAGTACAGTTATACATTCTGTAAATCACTGAACAATTAAAGGCAAATTGAAGTGCACAAAGAGACGGGATACCTAACCCACCTTTAACTTTAGGCTTGCAGACATTTTCCCAAGACACCATATGTAATTTACGAGAGCAGTCAATGTCTCCAAAAAGCAGAAAACGAGAACAAGTTTTCTTAAAAAACTTGTAAACAATCTTAGGCAAAATTAAACCCCTAATCCAATAGGCAATTGTGTTTTGAATAGTGAACTTAAGATACTGCAAATGCCCAGCAAAAGACAAGAGATTTTCCTTCCAACCAGTAAAGTTTTTGTGCAGGTTATCCATCAAAGGTAAAAAATCTTCAACTTTCAATCTATTAAAAGAGATAGGGATGCCAAGATAAGAAATCTTTGAGGTGATGTTGAAAATGGAGAGAGCTTGGCACAAACTGTCTCTATTCCTTTGATTTTTAGTGAACATAACAGAACATTTATCAAAATTGATGTGTAAACCAGAAGCTGCAGCAAACTCATGTAGGACATTAGCAAGAATGTGACCATTGTCTAATGTCGCCTCACAAAAAATTAACACATCATCAGCATATAAAAGGTGAGAGAGATGAAAGTTGTCAGCTTTAAATCCTTTGAAACCACTAGCATCCAAAAGATTGGAGAAGGCATCCATCACAATGCAAAAAAGGCATGGGCTAAGAGGAAAACCTTGCCTCAGCCCGGCAGAAGAGGGAAAGAAACCTTCTAAAGCACCATCAATGACAACAGAAAAATTTACATTAGAAATACAAGCCTTAACCCAACTGATAAAAAGCTTAGGGAATCCTTTTTGAATCATACGAGCAATTAAATATTCCCTAGAGACAGAGCCAAAAGCTTTTTTGATGTCTATTTTAGCACATAATATATTACCGGCCCTTCTCTTACTGACTAAAGAGAGGATATCATTAGCAAGTAGAATGCTATCGCTGGAGACTCTAGATAGTATATATATCAAAATGGTAGTTGAAAAGGAGACTTTGTAGCTTTTAAATAAAAGTAGCAGAAGCTAAAACTTCTCCATGAACAAAATAATAGTTGTAAGATACATTATTCAATGTTTGATGGTTGATTCTTAATTTTGTAAAACAAACTACTGAATATTTTCTTCCTGAACACGAGTGAAATGCAACATATTCAATTAAGTCCTCATGAATGAATCATTTATATATTATAAATTATATAATCCACTACAACAATTACACCAAAAGGAAATATATTTTGAAATGAATGTTTAAAAAAGTCCATTAAAGGTAGAATTATAAATAAACATATATATATAATGTAGACATTATTAATACAAAAAAATATTATATAATATTTTCATTGGTTTTAAGCATTATGTATCCAAGTTCCTATTCTATGGAACCAATAGATTTGAACTTTCAGTGCTAAAAAATGGAAAACTAAAGGACGTCTTTAGTTAGATATCACGTACCTATTTTAGGCTCTCAATTAACTATGACCAGACTATGATCCTCTGAAAAATATATTAGTATAACATTATATAATCATTTCATAAAAGATGATATAATTTGAAAAGAAAATATTTATGTAATAATTCTTTAGTTGAAATTAAAATAATATTTGTATGAAGTTATTATGCAGGCTTGTTTAGGTTTCACTTTTAGTCTTTTTTGTTTTTATTTATTTTTTTATGTTTTGATTTTAAAAAATGTATATTTTGTATCTTAAAAAATATTAAATATTGAATAAATTGATTTACGTAATTATTATATTAATCGTCACTGAAGTAGTGTAGGCTTTCAGGGAGGAAATGATGGCAACTGGGTTGGCGTTATTCTAAGGTGGTAGTTGTTACTGATTGGGTGATAGCGCAGTGACAATAGCGGCTTGTGGGGAAAGTACTTAGCATTTGGTGATGACTAGACATAAAAAATGATTTTAAGTGAATTTTTTGAAAATGTTTATTTAAATATAATTTATATAACATAAAAAATAGAATTAAGAAAATATTAAATATAAAAAATAGATATTATATAATTTATATTATAATTTTATATTACATGAATTAATTTGAAAAATAATAATAATGATATAATTTTTTCATATGAATTTAAAAAATATATATTATATGAAGTTCTTAAAAATTATGAATAACTAAGGAAAAATAAGACTTTTTTATAAATATTTTTATGATGTTTTTTAATAGTAATTGTAAATTAGAATCTAATTCAGTTTTGTAATAAATGAGAATTTGAATAGATATTTTATAATATTTTAATTAAATTAATTTAATATTTGATTGAATTATTAATTAAAAGTTTTGAATTAATTACACATAATTTGAAATCTAATTTTTAATTTCAAACTCTTTCTATGGTTCAAATAAAGGTTTTCTTTATCTCAGCAACGAACAATGATAAAATTCTAGATGTAATAAATGAACTTAAGATTCAAATCATTAGCTCTGCTAATCAACGTTCAGCTCCTAACGGTCGACATCTCCTTTTAATTTAAATGGACAGGAGGTTTTCATTACTTCACATTCTCCTCTTTGTTTCCCATTCTCTGCTTTTGCTCTGCTCCCGTCTCCAACTCTATTTTTGTCCTTTGTTCGGTCACTGCTGCATGCCCCATGGGCCGCGCGAAGCTCTCCATTAAGTATCAAGAAAACTGTAGAGCTCGCCGCGCAACTTACCTAACGCGATTGAAAGGATTGAAGAAGAAGGCCGGCGAGCTCTCGCTCCTCTGCGGCGTGGACGTACTAGTTGCTTCTTTTTCTTCGGAACTCAACACCCTTGAATTCTGGCCGGAAAATAATACACCAGAATTCTGCCGGATTAGAGAACGTTACTTGAAGGAGAGCGCTCATTACGAAGAAAATGGAAAAATTACCGAACAACAAATTTCATGTCAACCAAAGCCTTCTCCTTCCTTTCCTTTGCCGACATTCCTTGAAGAGAAAGCAGCCATCAAAATCAAATTACTAGAGGTGAGGGAGAGGATAGATTTCCTCCAACGCCAAAGTACAGAGGTACTGGAACGGCTTCAACCGCAGCAAGCAATTTTCATGCCTTCGCAGCAACAGCCGCAGTATCTTCACCTGCATCAGCGACTTTCCCCATTTTTCCACTGTATTTCTCCTCAGCTTTCTGTTGATTTTAGTATTCCATTACAACAGGATCTTCTCCATCTTCAGCAGCCTACTCCATTTGCACAATCTCTTCCTCCTCGCGAACAACCTAAACAAGTTTCCCCATCTCTTACTCCTGAACAACTCTTCTCGTAATTGGTTTCAATCCTTTCTCCTTTTGGTTTGCTGCTGATTGCTTCTGCTGACTTCACCGCTAGCCTTTTGACGGGCTACACCTTAGTGCGTGAGTCAGCACTCGGATGACTTGAATGTGGTGGTGTGAAAGCCTTCTTCTGGACTATGAAGTCAACCAACCTTGCTAATTTCTTTACTTCTTTTATACAAACCTATTGTATAAACTGAATGTTCTAGATTTTCTTGTTGAGGCTCCTCTACTTGTTCATTAATGGAAAATGAATTTTTTTAGATTTTCATGATTTTCATTGGAATAAAAAATTACATTTTATATCTTGCATAATGTTTTAGATTTTTAAGTTTTTTTTTTTTGTAAGAAATTTTTTGTATGAGCATTTTATTCTATAAGCCAAGGTCATAAATTATTCTTACCCTTGTTGCTAATTAAAACTTCATCTACATCAAGTAGCATTGTTTGTCAATTTAGAATTGCATATTTTATTGCTTACCATTGGAGGAGAGATAATAGCAGGAGTAAAAGAACTGCTTATAATTCCAGCAGACGAACAAGTTCTGGGCGCTGTGGTAATAGAGAATTATCGGGTTGTAGTTTTACATGTATCTTTAACATTTTCATATCACAGAGCACAATACTTAAGGAGAGGTTTAATTTTTTTGAATTGGGTGTTTTCAGTAAATGAATTTGTTTTCCAAAAATTCAAGCAAACCCCAAAGCTTGCTGGTTAAAGTGAAAGCAGGTGAAGCAAATTCTGCCAAGCCAGTTTAAAGATAAATTGGAACTAGATCATGCTGTTTAGTCTTCAATTAATTTTAAAGGAAAATACATACATGCCAACTATCTCCTACATTGTTGAGAAGTTAGCAAAGGAGATTAAAATCTCGTGGTCCAAAGTGACCACTATCTTGAAATCTTATCAAAATAATGTACTATTTTGCATCACATTATATTTAATTTCAGGCAGAATGGCTACAGAATAGTCCTTTGATTTATGGTTACTTTGTGGAGAGATGGGGTTTCATCAAGTCTTTAATACAATCAAAGTGAAGGACTCAAAAAATGAAAAGCAATGGTACACCTCGAACAAAGGCAATCATACTTTATTTACTGTGCAAGAAATTATTTTATAGCTATAGATGTTACTGCAGGTAGAATAAAGCAAAGGTCATAAAAATGTTAAACAATTACAATGCATGATATGAAACTTAGCAAACAACAATTAAAAAATCATCTTAAATGTGTTCGAAATTCCTGAGAACTTCAAAAGCAATGTTTCATAGAAGTTGGCATTACCTCTTGGGTAAAGGTTTTTTCACTGAACTTTTGGTTTATAACTCAATATAAAAATCAATTTTAAAATTAAATGACAACATTAAAAAACACATCTCGAGAAAAATTAAACAATTTAAAAGTTAAAAGAATGAGGACTAAATAA